ACCAGTCTATCACAGGGCTACACTTAGAGACAGACAACCAAGCACACTCACATTCACACCTACGGACAATTTACAATCACCAATTAACCTCAACATGTGTTCGGACTGGGGGCTGCAAGGTGGCGCGCTGGTTAGCATCGTTGCAAGAAGGTCGCTGGTTCTTTCTGCGTGGAGTCTCCATGTTCTCCCCGTGCAGCGTGGGTTCTCTCCGGGTTCTCTGGCTTCCTCCCACAAGGTCTAAAACCCTTGATTGACTGGTTACCTGTCCAGGTGAACCTGCCTTCACCCTGAGTCAGCGGGGATAAACTCCAGCCCCCCATGATCCTAGTGAGGATTAAGCGGTGTATAGATGATGGATGGATGGGTGTTTTTGAACTGTGGAAGGAAGCCGGAGAACCCGGAGAGAACCCACGCTGCACGGGGAGAACATGTAAACAGAAAGATACCGGGTGTCCTCACCGGGACACGAACTGGCGACCTTCTAGCTGCGAGGCAACGGTGCTAAAATTCAAAAACACGTATGGCTGAATTACTCCACTATTACAGCTCGCCATTGTATAAGGTGGAGCAGTTCTACTGGGTTTCAGCAAAATTGTAGGAGAGCTGGTGTGCTTGAGCCAGGTGGGTGGAGATAGAGGCGAAGCCCTCATAGAGCCATACATGTTTGTTTTTTTTTTAAGTTTCAAGATACTGAGCCTCATAACTGGGCTTGTAAATGCAATACTTCCCAACAACTTATCCTCAAAACTTCAAAAGGTGTCATAGCCTCTGTGAACAACAAGGGCTTTCCAGAGTCTCTGCTGCAAATGCATGACATAATAACACCAGAAGAATGAGACGCTTTGACTTGTTTTCATGTTTTACCACTGGACAGTATTTGGTTTTAATTCCATGAAGCATGTGGATACAAGTTGATTTCCAGTCAGCACTGACATGAGATGAAAGTTAAGAATGTGCAGAGAGCATCACGGAGATCCAGCTCTGCAGTAAATTATACATAATTCATATTTAATGGCCTACAACATGCAAAACCACCACCACGGTCTTTCAGGTTAATGCACTCCATCGTTAATGTTCTGTCACATAAAATCCAACGGCGGTCCTGCAGTTGGATGTGTTACAGTATTTTTTTTTTTTTCTTTCCATGCAAAGGATAAAAGGGATGCCCACATTATGTGGCTGACTGCGTACTATTATTCCCAATGGAAATACCCTTTATGTAATGTTCTGTGTGTACCTGGCCTGCTGGATGGCCTCCACCCATTCATCACACTCGTACTCCTCCTCTGTTCGTAGTTCCAGAGGCTTCTGTCCATCGTGACCGAACACGATGAGGAAGTAGTGCTGAGGAGAGAGAGAGAGAGAGAAAACTGTTTAACATCCAAACACATCTTCAAAAGACACAACTCAGCGGGAGATGTTTCTACAAGACCGTGGCCACAGCTAAACCAGAGGTGACTTTTGTTTGTTCAGTTACATTTGATGCTCTTTTCTTGCCCAGATTCAACCCATAAAAAGTTTGATAGAAGAAGTGGGCAGATTGCACAGAGAAGCAGGGCGGGTGGCTCGACACACACATGACAGAGTTATTTGCCCACTAAAGTGAAACATCAAGTCTCGTCTGTGGCTCCCTTCTCCAGCAGCCTATTATCATCACCATCAATTAGCCCCGCTCTCCGTCCCTGCCTTCCCCCTCTCCCGTTTTCCGTCTGTCCTTCCTATTATTCTGATGAATTTCCCTGCGTATCTGCCTTTAAAACACTTCCCCGCACTCGCTCGCAGATACATGCAGACACATGCGAGTGCAGAGACACACACCTACGGCGGAGCGCGCACACACACACACACACACACACACTCGCCATTATGTGAAGTGATAGAGGCTTTTATTCAAATGGTCGTGTCCCGGGGCACTGGGTTACCAGAAGAGCTGCTATTCTTAGTCAAGGAAAACAGAGGAGACTGAGCTCTGCATGGGCTTTCTCTCTCTTCCTCCTCTTCTCTTCTCTTCATCCAACCACCTATTTCCTCCTCCCTCTCTCTTTGCACTTCACCTATCATCCCACTCCACCTCCTCTGCCCCGCTCAACCAGCATCCTCACTTCTCTTGTTGTCAAAACCCACTCCTCCTCCTCCTCCTCTTCGTCCTCCTCCTCCACATCCCTTCATACTTTCATCTCTTTGTGTCTCCCTCAGTAAGGACTCAGTGAACCAAACAGAGTCCAGAGGAGAGACGTTTGCCCTGCAGGAGGATGGATGGGCTTCAGCCCCTGCAGTGGGGATGGGCTGAGGACTGAGGACAGGTTATTGGAACCCACACACACACACACACTCTGAGAGACCCTCCTCCATCTCCATCCTCCTCTCCTTGCTTTTTATGTATCTGTCATTTCGATTCACTGCCTGGCTGTATTTTGTTATATCAACAATAATCTGTGCTCTAACAGTCTTTGACAGGGAGAGGGATGGAGAGGAACACAGAGAGAGAGAAGAGGGAGCTGTTACATAATATTTCTTAACCGAGTACACGTCTCTAAATTGTGTCACTACCTAACAAGATAACATTTCCATGGCAACGCAATATCTGACGCTTCCGCTGTGTTTTGCACTTCCATTTTCTGCTTTTCAGTGCTGCCTCTATTCATTTAATGCTTTTATTTATCCATCCTGCAATTTCTAGCCCTCGCTTAGAAAGTGAAAATGGATAATCTGATGGATAATCTCAGGCTGTGTTATGTGCACATTTTAGAGTAAAAGGGCTGCATTTTTTTTTACCATGCATGCGTTTCAGGTGAAAATGTGTCTGCTGCTTACTGCTTTAATGCACACAAACACCTATAGATGCAGGGATAATAATGAGAGTGAACACATTCTCTAGCACAACGCCACAAAGTGAAAACACCAGCAGGAGTTAAAAACTTGAATAAACAAATAATGAGCAAAACGTGCTTAAATATCAAAAGTGATCACGTCTATAAAATAAAGTGGAGCTCTGGACCACTAGTAGCTCCACAGAGCGACTGTTTTCACAAGCGCGTCCTCATTTTACTTGATCGTTCATGCAAACGTGGAAGCACGACTGGATGGATGGTTGGGAGAAGCCGCGTGGCTGCCGTGCGCTTGCAAAGGCAGCGATGAGGACTGCAAGCCATTAAACAGAGTTGTAAACAATGTGCAAGTCGCTGCACAAATTATTCAAAAGCATCGTGTTTGTAAAGAAGGAAATGCAATGAGTGCACTTGTTAGGATTCAAGGATTCACATTGAGGTTTGGTGAGAACGGTGGGACGTAAACTTCCTCTGGTTACAAGAAAACTTGATGGGGTACCTTTACAGCTGCATTGATTCTTAAATCAGATTATCCAGTGATGTTTATTGTGCATACAATGATCCCTGTCGAGAACACATTACGTAATATTTTTTTGCACTTTGACTGTGAAACCAGTCTTCCCAGCTGCTTAAAGGTGTGTGTTATAACTGCTTTGCTATATCTTCTTGCCTGTACATTTACACTCCACCATTACGCCTAATCTTTTCGGCGATAGTGATCCAATCGCCCCGAGGCGCTCATTAAACTTTAATGTTATCTACAGAACATTCAGCATCGCGCCGGACTCCCAGCGAATACCAATGGATTACACTGTACCGCTGCATTGTGCGCTCATTAACTGAAGAGGAATTTTCATGCGTGGTGGAGGACTTGGTTGTTCCACTTGGAGGCTGTAAACACAGTGAGAGCTCCTCACATCTCCCGAATGCCACTCCGACTCTCTCGGAGCTGTAAACATGCAGCCGCCCGACTCTGCAGCACCGTCCAGGGCTACTCCCTCAAATCGCCTACCCTCCTCCATCCCTCGGGGCCTTCACTGTACTGTAAGAAATTTCATTTAGACAAATAAAGACAGTGAGGAAAAGCAAAAGAAGCGAGGAGACGGGAGACTCTTTTCGGCTCTTTCACTCTCGGTGTCACTAACAACCTATTTGTCACTCACCTGAAACTTTTTTCTCTCCGAATCTACAAAAGAGCTGTTACAGAAAATGGCACCGTGACAGCGAGACACAAAGGAGCGTGTTGTACCACAATCGAGCAGGAACAATGGAAGGGCAGCGAATTTTATTATTCAGAGGCAGTTTCTCATCAGTCAGTTAAAAACTACCCGCTGTGAGAAAAGAGGTAAGAAGCACTCAGAACAGAAAACGGCTACTTTTCATTGTCCAACTGAGACTTAATGTCAGGAAATTAAAACCTACCCCACACACACACACATACACACATCCTCAGGTTCATTGTGGCGCTGTGATGAAATACTTTTTTTTTTCTTCCTCTTTATTAAAGATTAAAGACTTGAGGATGAAACTGGACCGGGTGGTAATAGATTCACTGGGCAAAAGATGGCTGGGGGATCCAGAAATACTCATCCGTCATGAATATTTAAAAGCAGAGATGACAGAATCACTGTTGGGATCCACTGATGATTAGGGACTGGAATAGCCACTAATGATGCAACGCCGCCGTCTGCTTTGGTTTCTGCACTGGATGTGTTGTACAGTACTACAGATGGACCTTGTTTTGTTTTTTTTTCTTTCTCTTGACTCGTAGCAACTTGAATTCTGCTGCTTTGATGTTATTTATTTCAGTTGGTAGAAAGAAGCGTGAATGCTGAACGGTTTGATCCCCACCAGGGGCTAAACTCTACAGTCTATGTTCATGGTAAAGGCTGGTTAAATAACAATAAAGAAGCATTGAGCACTTAGCATATAAGCTTGTTTTAGCTACTTAAATACACGTTTACATTTTTTGTTGGTCATTTCTGTTCGTTTTTTCCTAAAAACCTGTCAGATAGCAAAGTTTAGGATTGTTAAGCGTCAGATTATTGAGTCACGACTATATTTTCTCAAATGTGATATCATCGGAAAGTTTTCCAGTTTGAAAGAGCCACAGGATACACATGAGGAGGCAAGAGGGGAGGATAGATGCATAAATCAGTAACATCTCCAAGAAGACCGATTGAGACCAATTCACACTTTCCGTGTAAATATTTGCAAAGCAAGCATGACGTTAACCACATTCGTAAGGACCCCTATGAGGGGTCCAAAATTTATGACTGCATGGACTGCCGAGTGCATCTACTGCACATGTGCATGAAAAATAACTGCTGCTAAAACAAAATGATCAGTATGAGGATTCAAGAGATTTATCACTGAAAGAGTTTTAAACCAAGTAGCCACTACTGGACTTTGGAGGTGCTTTGATTTGTAAATGTTTTCCACACTGAGAGGTCCTAATGTCTCTGGACATCCTGTACTACGTCTATCCACTGGGCTCAGCACACCTCATGTATAATCACATCAACATGGTGCTACAGCATAATCTGGAACCAGCTGCTATACCCTGTGCTATGTCCAAGTCTGCAAAGGGGTCTGCGTGGAGCTTCACAGACGTGGGCGGATGAGGAAACGTACGTCACAAACACTCTTGGTGAATGCAGAGAGCATGAATTGTTTACTTTCAGTTTTTACTCCTGTTAGGACTTTAGGCTAACTACATGTCAGGAGCTTACTTAAGCTTTGGCATCAAAATTACTTGCTTAGGGTTCAGAAAAATATCATTACAACTCTGTCACTACACATTTGAGGCCTCTTCTATATTGTCTGGGTTACCAGGGTGATGAGTCTCACCATATATATATATAGGAATGGTATAATGTATGATTGGCAGGCTGAAAAGCAGTAAAGTACATAACAAAGACATGTGGATTTGAAACATACTTGTGGTACGTGACAAAGAAATATAACCAGATAGAACATGTGTTTTCCTCAAAACATAATTCGTAAAGCAGTGCAGTTGTATAGAAATGTCATTTTATGGCGCTAGGGTTCGGTAAGTACAGCTGGAGGACTAATCTATGATACAGAGCTTTGGTGACGGGAGAGGACGGCATTAAAAAGACCTAAAAACACACAAATAGGCTTCATCACATTTGCAAAATATCTAGTTTAGACTAACATAGATTAATACCATCCAACAACACTCACTCACGACTAGACTGGGATGCAGAGACAAACAGATACACGTATGAAACATGTATGATACGAGGATGATGCTAGGGGAACATGGAGACCACAAAGACACACAAATACGAAGGGGCGTGATCATGGAACTGTAAGTGGAACTGTAATATGTGGCTGCTCACGAGGTCTAGAAATATGTCAGCTTAGCCTCATGGAAGACTGTAGTGAGTGCACAGATAGAGTACATGCAGGTAGACGGGCAGGTAACCCATCCAATCATCTCATGCAGACGAACGCAGTGATTGCACTGTACAGACTGCGACTGCCACAGAT